TGCATCAAAACCAGGTTTAGTTAGACAAGTTGGAAATCGTTTTTTTACCGCGTTTTCTACGGCCTAAGTAAAACACCTTAAATGGTGGAAAAKAGCAGCAGTAGTTCCTTTGTTTAGGGTTTATTAAAGACTTTAGTTGACTGAGTGGCTGTAGCTAAAATATTTGTGTGTCTTGCAGGTCAACATGCAGATCTTTGTGAAGACCCTGACTGGCAAGACCATCACCCTCGAGGTGGAGCCAAGTGACACCATTGAGAACGTGAAGGCCAAGATCCAGGACAAAGAAGGCATTCCTCCCGATCAGCAGAGGCTGATCTTTGCTGGCAAGCAGCTGGAAGACGGGCGCACCCTGTCCGACTACAATATCCAGAAAGAGTCCACCCTTCACCTGGTGCTGCGTCTGAGAGGTGGGATGCAGATCTTTGTCAAGACCCTGACTGGCAAGACCATCACTCTCGAGGTTGAGCCCAGTGACACCATCGAGAACGTGAAGGCCAAGATCCAGGACAAGGAGGGGATTCCTCCTGACCAGCAGAGGCTGATCTTTGCTGGGAAGCAGCTGGAAGATGGTCGTACCCTGTCTGACTACAACATCCAGAAAGAATCCACTCTGCATCTCGTGCTGCGCCTCAGGGGTGGAATGCAGATCTTCGTGAAAACCCTGACTGGCAAGACCATCACCCTGGAAGTTGAGCCCAGTGACACCATTGAGAACGTGAAGGCCAAGATCCAGGAYAAGGAAGGCATTCCCCCAGACCAGCAGAGGCTGATCTTTGCCGGGAAGCAGCTGGAAGACGGGCGCACCCTGTCTGACTACAACATCCAGAAAGAGTCCACCCTTCACCTGGTGCTGCGCCTCAGGGGTGGGATGCAGATTTTCGTGAAAACCCTGACTGGCAAGACCATCACTCTCGAGGTAGAGCCCAGTGACACCATTGAAAATGTGAAGGCCAAGATCCAGGATAAGGAAGGCATTCCTCCCGATCAGCAGAGGCTGATCTTTGCCGGGAAGCAGCTGGAAGATGGGCGCACTCTCTCCGAYTACAACATCCAGAAGGAGTCAACTCTGCATCTCGTGCTGCGCCTGAGAGGTGGGATGCAGATCTTTGTCAARACCCTGACTGGCAAGACCATCACTCTGGAAGTTGAGCCCAGTGACACCATCGAGAACGTGAAGGCCAAGATCCAGGACAAGGAAGGCATTCCCCCAGACCAGCAGAGGCTGATCTTCGCTGGCAAGCAGCTGGAAGATGGGCGCACTCTCTCCGATTACAACATCCAGAAAGAATCCACCCTTCACCTGGTGCTGCGTCTCAGGGGTGGGATGCAGATTTTCGTGAAAACCCTGACTGGCAAGACCATCACTCTCGAGGTTGAGCCCAGTGACACCATCGAGAATGTGAAAGCCAAGATCCAGGATAAGGAAGGCATTCCTCCCGATCAGCAGAGGCTGATCTTTGCTGGCAAGCAGCTGGAAGATGGTCGTACCCTGTCTGACTACAACATCCAGAAAGAATCCACTCTGCATCTTGTGCTGCGCCTGAGAGGTGGGATGCAGATCT